TCAACTACCATAATATACATGCATGTCAACTACCATAATATACATGCATGTCAACTACCATAATATACATGCATGTCAACTACCATAATATACATCTATAAAACAATGCCATAAACAAATGTTCAAAAGCAATACTGAAAGAACATATACCCACCTATTTCTTGCAAAGGTTGATCAATAAAGCATACCTCACCCTATCTTATCTTTGGTTACGACCAATGATTTATACAATACCGTAATAACACCCACCCAAAGTTGCCAACTTTTCCAAATAAAAAAACACCCTACCCAAGCAGCAGGTCAGGATGGTGGGCACTGGACCAGTTACCCCCCCCCCCTCCAAAACCATAACATACACTTTTGTGCATTCAAAACATTCAACCTATTCAAAGTAGACATGCGAAAATAATGTCAGAAATATTTGGTAGCGGTCTCTCCATCTGATTTAGGGGCTTCGTTCTTATTATCATTCTCAAACCCTGCCTTGAAAATAAATAATTTTTCTTCAACATTGGCAAGTTCGTGAAGAGCAATACTGGACAACAGAGAATATGTATTTTCTTACAAAAAAACAGACTGGCATACTCACTCTCAAAAACAAACGAAATGCATTTTTTACATACTGGTTGGCAACTAAGCCTACCTGACAATTTCTTCCAATGGAGGACCAACAAAGTGCATCTCACCTTTTCTCACCTTTGCTCAGGGCAAATTGTAACAGTAATAGTATAATCACAGTAAAGACATGTACCTTTGACCCTTCTGATAGACTCCGGAGACTCTGCTGTGCCAGGTCAATGTCTGAGTAGAAACTGGTGAGAGCCACCGTTTGCTCTCCAGCATACAGACGGTCACTCAGCGCTACTAGCTCTGATAAAGCAAAAAAATGACAATGGAAGGGTCATTTAAGAATAAGACTGAATGTCTCATTTCAACATCAGCTCCGTCTACACTGCCAACAGCCCAAGCTTAGCTTAGCCCGCTTTAATTTTCTTCCTTATTTACCGTAAGTATCATATACATAACCTATTATTTCAGAGAAATATGCTTCTTAAACATTTTACTTAGGTTAACTGAAAATGATCTATGCTATTTCAAAGAAACAGGCCCGCTATGCTACCACAGGATTTTAGATTTTGCCCGAATCAAATACACACTGAAATATTTTGTTCAATAACAATCCATGTAGCACAAACATAAAACACCAACGCTAACGCTAAAAAAGTCAAGGCAATATTTGAGCATTCACCGAATGGAAATGCGATAAATAAATGATATGGTTGATCGATTACCATTATTATATCATTAATAATAATAATATTATCGTTATTATCATTACTATTTTAAGCATACTTTTCTATATATAGAAACATTATTCCAAAATGTGCAACCAAGTCTCATGAAATAACTAAAGTAAGTCTACAGAAAGAATTCTGAAAGAAGCCAGCATGTGACTTTCACTAATAAAAACAATTACAAAAAGAAAAATACACTTTCTAGGACTCCTGAATCGTATCGACATAATGGCCTTGAATAATTTGTTATTTTGAAAAAATAGAAGGTAAAAGAGGCAGGGTTAGACTAAGAATAACAAACTTAAAAACTTGACCAGGTAGGTAACTGGAAAAGACCACGATAATACAGGTTTTCTTAGAGCATCCGAGAAGAGAAATGAATGGCGAACAAAGATCACAAAAGTCTGTTTCACCAATGTCTGTTGGAGGAGGAGGAGGAGAGGAAGAGGAGGATGACGAGGAGAAAGAGGAGGAGGAAGAGGAGGAGGAGGAGGATGAGGAATTCTAAGAGCATCCAAGCAGAGAAATGAGGGGTAAACCATGATCACCAGTCTGTTTCACCATTGTCTGAAGAAGGAGGAAAAGAAGGAGGAAGAGGGGGAGGAGGAGGGGGGGGGGAGGATGAGAAAGTGGTAGAGAAAGAGGATAGAGGAAGAGGACAATCTGTCTCCTTACCTCCGCATGTCTTCACCAGCTCAGTGACATGTTGGCGAAAAACAAAAACATGTCTGAGTTTGATAGCCTGCAGAATGTGAATGACCAGCTTGATGGTGACGGCGTGAACTTCCCCACACTCCGAGTGACCCAGCAGTCTCAGCAAGTGACGCAAAAACCAGTAGCAAAATGCTGGGGACACAACAATTCCAATTCTTTTACCAAAACATCTATCTGGATTTGCTTTTTCGTCAGAAAGTACTAACAAATTACATTCTGTTACAACGACTCTTTTAGGGCCAGCAGATTTAACAAATAAGAGGTTGATTTATTTTTAGAAATACAGGCTTGTCAACCTTTTCAAAACCCTATCAGGGACACTCAACATTATAACTTCAGATCATGTAGCAACAAATGTACCGTATGTGATAAGGCTACTATCAAATTTCCGACCACCAAATCTGGGACAAACCCAGGAATTTGGGATAGTTGGCAAGCCTCAAAATACGGTAAAATGTTTAAAAAAGGTGGAGGTCTTCGACATTTATGTTCTTTTCTGCCGTATAAGGTATAGTCTGTGGAAGAGGAAGTTGCTATCGGAGATCCTAATTCAACTTTAGTTAGAAGTACACTATAACCCCATCACATCTATGTGCATTGCAACAATTATTGCACGCTGTTTCCTGTTCCTGTAAGGCGGACTGCTACCCCACTGTGACCCCAGATATTGCAGTTCCCTTTACTTTTATACAATTTTACAGCATCTAGTAGAATGGAACGGAGTATATATTGACAAGTCTTAAGTGCTTATATCCATGGACTAATTTAGTCAATCATGATTGTTCAGTCATATCAAAAGTAAAAAGTAACTAATCATGTCCCTCTAACTGGTAAAGAAATAATAAACAGCGAGATGCTAACCCTTCCATCCACATGCACGTATATTTTCAACAGCACTTGTACCTCCCACTGTCCCAAGGGCATTTATTCTCAGTTTCAAGGGTACCGAATTTGCACATATTTTTCTTAATTAGCGAACCTAACTAAACTTTAAGTTTCATAATATTTGTTCATTTAACTTGAAAAATTGTTATATATACGTAAATATTATTTAAACCTCATTATAAAGATACTACATCACTTTTTAGAATGCATGCCTCTTTCTCAGAAATACCGCTGTACTGGCTGGGACTAAGGTTATGGATTGCAAAAAAATGGGTTAATAAGGGATGATACAGTGTGCACATTACCATAAATTCTTAATTTTATTTTACTCAGCTAAGGGAATGATAGAAAGAAATTTTATTACTTTGAAGTACAGACATTAGCAGCAAGATAAGGATAGAAAGCTCACATCTCACTCAAAAGTGGAAAGCTCATAAAAATTATATAAAACACGAAACAAAGTATATATACTCTGTACCTTGTGAGGTGTTTTCTTCCTGCAGTACCCTCAGATTCTCAGATGTTGAAGATTCTGATGATATGTGATGAAAAATCTCCCCATTCTCTCTTAAAAACTCCAGACACATAGTAAGAGAACGAAGACTTCCGCTAGCATTTCCGTCAGTTTCCAGGGATTTCACAACTTATGGGGAAGAAAAGGATTGTGCATTTGCATAAGAATAAAAATTGAATGACGTTCCATTAGCACCCTATTCCAAATGATTAAAAGGCTAGAAATGAGTCTTACTGTTTAAAGTTTATCAAATAAACTCACATTTTGAGGCATATAAAAATATTTGTCGTCACTATGATAAATTCCTATGCCTGATTATATAAAGTTTCAATTACATAATAATGTCAATTGTTATTTATAATTTACATTTTTGCAAAAATTACTCAAACATTGAATATATAGACAAAATATTGTTTTCCCCACATTTGAAGTATCATAACTTTCTCAATATTAAGCAAACAACAAAGTTTTACATGCTATAATACTATTTAAAGACTTTTGCACCCTGAAAATTACTCATCATGTATACCATCTCCATCTTCATCTATTGCCCAAATTTATAATTTTAAGTCCAAAAAAGACTCCAAAAGAGTCTACTAGACAAATATATATGTCTTCATAACTTACCATCATCTAAATCAGTGAGAAAATTGTCAACTAAATCTGCAATAGTGTTCCGATAGCTGTGAATGCTGAAATCTCTTGGTCCGTCTGCAGAATTCCATCTAAACATGAACAAAAAAAATATATTAAAAAATAAGTATAGATTTTTTTCTTCCAAACTGCAGTTAAAGGTAACATCAAAACAAATTTACCTCACTGCATTATAAGTCAAAAACTGACATTATATATATATTATACATACAGGTCTACAATTCCATTTCGCACCTTGAATTCCACAAAAATATTTTTTTTCAGGTTATTTCTGCTGATGAAAAACATTGACTAATTGCAAACAATTACAAAGGAAGGCAAAAAAATTAGTATAGTACCTGAAAAATAATTTTGACTTTCTATACCATACCTTTGCAAGAATAAGATGGTGGGCTGCTCAACATTAGGCATTCTGTCTCAGATTGTCAGATATACAGTACTTCAGTGTGGTGTTCTTGAAAGTCACTGAAATAAAGAGCACATGACTGCATTGACTTAACACACTCAAAATCCAAAAGGTTCCTCTACTGTAGAAACAAGCTGAGTTTCCTCAAGGTTAAGCTTTAGTTTTATTATTGAAACAGTTTTACAGCACTTGAAACACAACTAGGTAATAAATGCCATAGACTAGAGGTTCACAACAGAGAAACATACAAAGAAATGAAGGAGGAGAGATAAAGACAGGCAGATGTTTGAAAGGAAAGAAGGAACACACGAAAGCACCCATCAAACACCCACTTTTCTCTACAGGCCTATCCTTCATATAAGCTTTTAACGTTATTTTTCATTATAGTTGTTCTGTTCCTATCATCATCATCATCATCATCAATGCCTTTCACCCCTGGCAGGGTATAGGCCACATACAAGCTCCTTCCATTTATCTCTGTCCTGAGCCATCCTTCCAAGC